AGACTAACGTCTTCATATGGCCCCAGAGGTAATAATCTAGAGGCGTAAGATCTGGCGACCTCGGTGGCCATGCAATGGGACCACCACGACCTAACCAGCGGTTAGGGAAGGCTAGTGTGAGCCGTTATCACCACACTCAAGGACAAACATCGATAAGACTTGTCAGCTGACAGGTACAGTGCGTGGACCCGCCAGTACACCACACCTTTCTCGGGCCATTATCTCCGTAACCGTTCAACTTTGGACATAGGTGTTTTGGGTTATATCAGCATACTTTAACAAAAGGAACCCCCCCCCCCCCGAAGTCTGGGACATTCTGTATATTTCAAACATTAAGCTTGTGTTTCCTCGGGTAGCGGTACCGTAATCAAGCGGCCGTAATGTGACGGTGAATGATGTCACTAAAACTTTGCCATGGAAACAAAGGAACATGATTTCCATGGCAAAGTTTTAGTGACGTCATTCACCGTCATATTACGGCCGCTTGATTACGGTACAGCTACCCGAGGAAACCCAAGCTTTAGAAGAGATGCCAGTGAATTCCGCTTATCCTGATATGTCACAAGAGGCATGTTATAGGACTCTCTAATGTAAAGTAAAAAGAAGTAAAGATCTAAAAGTCTGTGACGATGGTACACTGCTACAAATATGTTTTTTGCCACTTATCCATCGTCCTCTCTATTTTCTAAGAAACCGTCCTGTTAATTTTTCACAGATGGTTTATGTTGTGTTTGATTTATGTACCGCTTTTTGAAACTGGCATAGATGTCCGGAGATAGGGACTACCTCTATCTGTTGAACCCAACTGAGTAGGTATTTTGAAAGATAAACAGGACTTTTTTTTAGAAAATAGACAGGACGATGGATATGTCCAAAAACATAATACTTGTACAAGTAAGGAAAAGTTTCAACATTTCGCTATACTTCCGGTTCGTATTCATTTTATTATTTGGATAAGAATTTACCTTCTCGTTTAATTTTTAATGTTTTTAAAATAATTTCTGTTAATCCATTAAAGCACATTGGTTTGTGCTTACACTGCGCGCTTTAGCATTAAAAATCTCTTTGTTTTACTCACAGACTGTACTTACACGGAGATCATTATACTGGAGCCTGCGTCTTCTGTAAGGTAGGAACACAATATTATATACTTTTTAGAGTGAACTATTGCTTCAAAGGATTAATGCATCTCCTATTATGTGTTTTTTAATGAATTTCATTACATTTTGTTCATCTTTCACAAGAGGATTTATCACAATAATACCTGTATGGCCCGTGTACTTCCGTTCATTGTTGGTTAATTGTATGATATTCGTTTTTGTTTGAATGTTTCATAATTTAGCGTTTCTTTTTCCGTGTTGCATGTACATCACTTTCTATTTACTTATGTAATTGCGAAGTCGGGGTTAATATTCCTTTTAGCTAATGCATATCAAATATTATTATCCCATTATTGTCTCCGTTGTTCTGAACTGTAGGAGATCAGAAGATTATGCTCTGCACCTCTCTCTTCACCACTTACCATCCTTTACAAATTTCTGATTCATATTCACCGTACTTCCTTCCACAGTGTAACACGTTTATTATCTCCCCTCGCCTTCCACTACATGTTTCTGCTCTACACGGTGTCATTATTTGCTAAAACTGTTTCACTGCGTAGTATGTCCAACTTCACATATCACATGCAAATGTGATATCTCCCTCTTAAAATAAATTTGTTTTTAGCAACAACAATAATATATGTAAGATTTGAGGCTTTCACGGCGGTGACTATGAAGAAAGCAGTCTTCTGGGATTTGGCACCGTGTATATGTGGTGTTAACCGACGTTTCTGAGGAACGTATCGCCTCCATCTTCAGGGTAGAAGAAAAAATATAAGAAATCTGCAAGCGAAGAGACCGTGTGAACCGGTAAAAGCAGACAGTCTGAAGATGGAGGCGATACGTTCCTCCGAAACGTCGGTTAACACCACATACACGGTGCCAAATCCCAGAAGACTGCTTTCTTCAACAATAATATAGTCGTTATGTATTGCAGGTGATAACCGCACCAACACTCATGCTGCTGCAAAACTAATCCAAACACGATGATAATCGGATAAAGAAAGCTGACAAACTTACCATCTTTGAGCCGATTGTCTAGATAACGTGGGACCTTCAACGTCTTACAACCCTGTGGGCCTTCATGGCCTGTTACAGGGATAGCTTTACTTTACTTTTACGAGTCTCCAAGCAAAAATGTTTAAAGTTTGAATTGTTTTTAATAGAGTACATTTATTTTAGGCGGGAGATATCACATTTACATGTGATATGTGAATTTGCACATATTACGCCGTGAAACACTTGTAGTGGAAAGAGGTAGATAATGAACTGGTAGCTTTGTGGATGGAAGTGTAGTGTATGCCTCTGTTTGTCTGCATCTTCCGTTGCTATAGTAGTGAAAGTAGCAATAAACAGGAAGGACACTTGACCGTTCCAGCTCTCTTAACATATGCCTACGTACTCTGCAGTAATGTGTAGAGTTTATTCTTTCTTTGCACACATTTTTTTTTCAATGGCTCTTCCAGCCGATTCATGGCCCAGGCCTCTTATTCAGTTCCGTAATCATTTTTCACAGACGGTAGAACTCCTAGGACGAGTGATCAGCCCGTCACAAGGCCGCTGCCTACACACAGGACAACACAAACAGAATAAACGTCCGTCCATTCATCTCCAGAATTACTTACCGAATTTCCATGACATTTGGTACGGGGGTCTACACTATACGTTGTCAAACGAATTTGATATCCTCCGTATACAAACTCCATGGCTATACCGACCGAGCGACCGCCGCTTGTCGGCGAAGTTAGTGCCAACTTTAGCGGATAGAGGGTGAAGCTTGATCAGCGCAACGAATCCCCATGGCCGTTAATCTCGGGTATCTAGACCAGAGTCGCTACTTTCCATTCATGTAGCTCCTCAGTTATCCTCACGATGCTGAGTGGACCCCGTTCCACACCCACGACTTCTTATAAAATCTTGTAACGCCGGGAATCGAACCCGGGACCTCTGGATCTGTAGCCATGAACTGTAACCACTAGACCACAGGTTCGGTCTCACATCCTTATATGAAGATTAAATCGAACTTCATCGATTATCTCAGTAATATCTCGTACCAAAAATATAGATTTAAGTAAGATATGCAATTTGTGTATGAAACACTTTTCGATCTAGTGAATATTTGACGAAATATAAGGAGAAATAATTTGTGATAAGGTAGTGTGAATAGTTTTGCAGAGATCCAGTCATTTGCGCAATGTAACCGTACTATTAGCATTTTTTTTTCTGCCAAAGAAAATGAAGGGTTACAATTTTAAATATTAATTATTATTGGAAATTGAGAACATTTATTGAACAGTAATGAAAGCCAGCGTAGGTATAATTGAGTTCATATAGTAGACCTATTCGTCGAAGATTTAAATAGACTGTAAACATAAGGCAAATAAAGATCACTGTTAGGCATTTGAGATATACATAAAGTTGCAAATTGCTCGAACATATGCTTATTTCAAATTTAAATACAGCAAACCCTCGTCCATCGTGCAAGATAAACCCTGGAAGGCGGCGTATTCGGCGACTGTGTATTAGATGAACATATTGATGATGGCAGATTTGCTGAATGTGTGCTGAATAAACCAGAGTTGGTTATACGAATACGTACACAAAAGCTGAATCATGTATATCTTTTTAAATACGAGTAATATTGATATTCCTTTAATGATACTACAGCGTTATTTGTCGGACCGCATATAACAAAATCCATGTTGAAGGAGACGTTGTTATACGCCTTCCACGTTTGTAACCCATATATATTAGTTAGTTAGTTAGTTATTGGAGAGGGTGGGTTTCCCCATGCACTTAGACCAGTATTGGTCCATTCTACCAGTCTCTATACCCTACCGATATTGATGCGTACCATCAGTCCCGACCGAGCCAGCGAGTTCGGCCTCTACTGGCTTGGCGGTATCTATAATGCTTCCCCCATCTATCAGAGACCTTAGAGACTATTGTTGGGCGGGAAACGTCCTTGAATTTGGCTCAGTGACCTCCTTTGGAGATATGAGGTTCTTTTACGTGCCGTAAAGCTACGACACGGGACCCACGGCTTAAAGTCCCTCCCGGGGGACTTGTTCCCTGAATTTTTTCGCCCTTAAAAATTCCACGACCTCCGCCGGGTTTGAACCCGCTTACCACGAGTCATGAGGTGGGAACGTTACCTCTAGACTACGGAGGCCGCTAACCCATATATATATATACACTATCATGGTTTGTATACATATGTGCAACACGAGAAAAGGCTTTCTGTCACTTCCGATTGGTCCGGGTACACTTCGTATGAATTATTCGAGCTAATTATTTGACTAAGCTGGATGTTTTATTGCCAGTTTCACTTTACATGCAGTAGCCTACCCAGAACTACCACCCGATTGCTTGAAGAATTTATTTAATGACGTTATTGTTTCATTGCACTTATTCTCGATCTGGAATTCAGTCCATCTAGCACTTGCCATCTCCACAGTGCTTAAGAAGAAACACGAGGTCACACTGTTACATAAATCAGTTTTCAACATCCCACAGTTCAATCTGAAATACAGTGTAATCTCATGTAACCTTTTCTTTTTATTTAAGTTTTCCAGGTAAAAAAAGGGGTAAAGCTATCCCTGTAACAGGCCGTGAAGGCCCATAGGGTTGTGACACGTCGAGGCCCTCACACATTTTCTCTAGACAATCGGCTCACAGATGGCGGTGAGGTTAGCCTCACGCGATGGCCGCTCTTTACGTCCCAGAAAGATTCCTGGTACTCATTTCTGTTAGAGGCTGAGTCGACCCCAGGGCCATACTGCAGCTGGAAGTATTAGGTAAATTGAAAAAAAAAAGAAATCACCTCATCGGGACTCGAACCCGCGACCTTCCGGCTTGTAGCATAGTGCCTCATTAAGTTTCCCAGGCTTGATCCTAAAGGCTGAAGTAGTACTACATGCCTCCGAAAGCCAGACAAGCTTCCTGAAACCTCTGCGTCACTTTACCTTTTGTTGCCTTCAAAATCTTCAAGTTCTACCCGCAGCATATAATCCTCATTATTGGTTAGCATGTAGATGTTCTCGTTGCCAAGCCAGAACTCCTTAGCAGGGTCACCAAAGCCATTCTTATAGTCAGTCCAATCACGGTTGAAACTCTCTCGTGGCTCGCCAAAGTCATCGCGTCTCTGGATTACCTAAATAATGGAAGATCAAACATAAGTAATTGTTCTCGTTATGATAATTTAAGATCAGCACAATCGTTTATTATTGTGATGCATATGCCCATTGCTAAGCAACGTTTAGAGTGCACGCAACAATAGAACAGGCGTTGCAAGAGGTGTTTTCTATGATCCGACTCTGGGCCATATAACGAGAAGCCAACAGTAACTGACAGTTCAATTCAAGTGTCTAACTGCCCTTTCGGAGTGTTAAATAAACTGATGCATAGACAGCTGCACGTTCCTGCACGGACAGATGTCCCTCTACAATCTGTCCGCTACAACGGCAGTCACTTGAATGGTAGTATGCTTGGCCGCCGCCAAGTTTAAGCCTGTTGGAACTGTCACAGCAGCGCAGAAGCTTACTGCCGGCAATCAGCCAGCACAGTCACTCCTGTCATCGGGCCCCGCTGTGACCCATGGCCCTATTTTGGCTTAGTATCTAAACCTTTGTTTTTCTTTTCCTCTTCGTTGGTCCTCTTTAACCTTAAAAAGGAGGGGTTGGTCTTTTGTTTAATTGGTCACCATTTTCTACACCTGTTCCACCCGTGGTTACATTATTCTGATGGGAGTAAATATGATATATACATTCTTTTATACTCTTCACAAGTATAAACTGAAATCAAATTCTAATATGTAGAGTCTACATATTAGAAAATGAAGACCAATTAAACAAAAAAACCAACCCCTCCTTTTTATCGTTAAAGAGGACCAACGAAGAGGAAAAGAAAAACAAAGGTTTAGACACTAAGCCAAAATAGGGCCATGGGTCTCAGCGGGGCCCGATGCCAGGAGTGACTGTGCCGGCTGATTGCCGGCAGTAAGCTTCTGCTCTGCTCTGCTCTGACAGTTCCAACAGGCTTAAACTTGGCGGCGGCCAAGCATACTACCGTTCAAGTGACTGCCGTTATAGCGGAAGCTATTAGAAATAGGGCATAATCTGCTGTGCTGAGCCTGGACTGACAGAGGCCCTGCATCTATTTAATACATTTATCATCATGTTTAACATGTCAAATGTAAATATCCTTTACATTATGAAAAATGACTTAGTACTACAGTCAATGACTCTGACAAAAGACAGTCCCGTCCTCTCATCAGAGAGAGCGCCCCATAATAACAAGAGCTAAACTGTCAAACAGTAATAAATATCTGGTCATGAGCCCCAGACTGCTCTCGACACCAGGATTGACTGACTGACCGTCAGTCGCTATGTGACTTTGACTGACAGTTCAATTGGAAGTCTGAATAGTTCCAGTTGAGTGTCCAGTCGAAAGAAAATGACATTGTGTTAAATAGTGATTTGTGGACTGTTGGAGCAAGTTGTATAAAGGTCCAATAAATTTGATCATCTAATCCAAAACCCGTCTTATTAGTCACGCAAACCCCGGATACGTAACATTATGTTTACATATAAGTAATCTAAACTGTTTTGCCGAAAATGTATACCGAGCAGGTTAATGAACCTTTAAGGCTGTAGACGTGTTTTTATTCAGTTACATATACCTTCGAATTTCACACTATCGAAATCTTCCAAATTCTTAGCTTCGTACGATTCATGAGCATATTCCATCGTTGACGTTGTTTAATCTCTAGAGATGAAATAGCGTTGTTATTTACCTAGAAATGTATTTTTATTGGAGAGTTTTATCTTCTGGGGTATAATACCTTGTAGCCCGTAGAAAGTTAACCTCGCCTCCATCTTCAAGTTAGAAGAGTAAGGCAAGCAAGAAATCATCAGGACACAAGCGAAACCCAGAAGATAGAACTCCTCATAACCATCGCTTTGACAACGACAAATCCTAAATTTATATTGAAGTTGTTAACGTGACACTGTAGATCTACGTGTCCAAGCTGTGAATGCATGCAGATAATAGGTGTTTTCAGTGACGGTTGAATAGTGATACTGTTTTCAAAACTGATCTTCTAAACCTCCATAGTTGAATATCAAGATACAATTAATATTGTATGTCATGTCCTCCTCCTAGGGTGGCATTTTTTTTTCGCATTGGGGGGGGGTGGTTGGAGTCCAGTTGGATCCACTCGGCACGGCGGCCACTGATTGGCCTATTGTACATACCCCGGGTGATTATGATGATGGAGAATTTTTGGTGGAATGAAGATTGGCAAGGGAAATCGAAGTACTCTGAGAAAACTTACCCCAGCGCCACTTATTAAAGAGGGGCGTTTAATTTACACATAATTCCTTTCTCCCATAAAACTGTTTTTGTATTACACAGTCCGTCAACAATGCATCAAATTGTTCCTTCTTTCTTTCACTTTCACTTTCGTCACATGTTTAGGCCCTAAATGACCAACTTCAGGTACCTTATTATGCTAAAACTGCTACACTGCACTAATACTATCCATTCATTACACATGCAACTGCATTTTATAAAAAATGTAGGAAAAAAAATTTAATAGATTTTATTTGATTTAAATTAAGTGAAATACAGGGTGTGCTATTTTAGCACATACAAATTGACTACGAGTATGACGTTTTAAACCATCAAGAGTACAGTTGCATATGTGAAGAATGAACAATATTGAAGCAGTTTTAGCACAGTAAGACGCCTGAATATGGTCATTTAGGGCCGAAACATGTCGCGTCGAAAGTGAAAGTGAAAGAAAGAAGGAACAATTTGTTGCACTGTTGACGGACTGTGTAGTACATAAACGGTTTTAAATATAGTAATGCAGCAGGATGCTTAAGTACAGGATTCCTTTCTGCTCTTTGATTAAGGTGCTAGTTCTTAACATAAGACTTCTGTAATTTTTTAAAATGTGTCGGGCTGTTCACACTTGCGTGACGTCATCATATACGTAGTGTACCTCACAAGGCCGGACGTACGGTAAGTAGACTGCAGCTAGAGTTGAGTAATTGCTCTAATTACGAACGCTGTTGGTCGGTCAAATAGCGTCACACTTCGCATGCTTCAGCGTTGCAAGTTAGGCAAGTAACTGCATGTCCTGTTCAGTATTGTCACTTTCCCCTTTTCTTCAATTATTGTTATCACGTCTCTGTATTTATTAGTTTTCTCTATTTCTCCTTATTTGGAATAGTATTTGTTATTGAGTTGTAGCAACACGCGTGGAAATATTTTCGGATTGTTCAAATTTATTTCCGCGTGTCATTCTGTTCGGAACTTGAACGTTCCACGTCTTGTCAAGAACGAGCCTCCTTTCTCTATATCATTAAGTGGGCCCGGCGGGGCAGTGATACTGAATGACATACGAGAGAAGTCTGTTATCGTTCTTTTAGATATTAGATTTATTAGCATGGCGGCGAAAGTCAAAGGGACCACAGACGTTGGCTCAAATTATTAATCAGATTCTATACAAACACAGAGACCGCCTCTGTGGTCTAGTGGTCAGAGGTCCCGGGTTCAGTTCCCGGCGCTACCAGATTTTCTGAGAAGTAGTGGGTCTGGAACTGGATCCACACAGCCTCGGGAGGATAACTGAGGAGCTATTTAAAGGAAATAGCGGCTCCGGTCTCGAAAACCTAGATAAATGGCCGTTGGAATCCGTTGCTCTGACCACGTGACACTCTCTATCCACAAAAGTTGGCACCAACTTCGCCGACAAGCTGCGGTCTCTTGGTCGATATAGTTTGCTTGAAGACTGCAGGCCACGGAGTATACAAGCACAGATTCGCATGAAGAGTTCTAGCTTATAAGCTGTAAAACCGCATAGTAGTCTGATAAAAGTCAACCGACGTTTCGGAGGAAGGTGTTACATCCATCTTAAGATACAGTGAACAAATGAAGCAAGAAAGCAGCATGAAGCAGACTGCTAGCTGCTTGCGTTGCTAACTCATCAACCCTGAAGTTGGAGGCTGTATGTTCCTGCGAAAGGCCGGTTGACTTTTTATCAGACTACGCTCCGTTATATCCTACAAGGCAGAGGTTTTCATAACCAGAAACTCGGATTCTACAAAGATTCGCGTTTACGTGGTGGACTAACACTTGATCAAAGCCCGCGCCATAGCTCAAGCGGTTAGTCGCTGGCTTCCCACGCCGGCGGCCCGGGTTCGATCCCGGGTCAGGTCAAGTGGGATTTGTGGTGGACAGAATAGCGCTGGGGCAGGTTTTCTCCGAGTACTTCGGTTTCCCCTGCCAATCTTCATTACACCAATTGCTCCACAATCACCCTCACCTATCATCTGGGGCTGGGACAATAGGCCAGAAGTGGCCGCAGTACAAGGGACTTAGTCCCACCCCACTAGCAATAAAAACAGTTGATCAGTTTATTCCTATTCGAATGACACAGTTTTTAGTCTGCTTGTCTTATTTACTTTCTTTACATAATGAGTTCTTCGAAAAATGTTAGTTTGATTTCGACGATATTAGGCGTTGTTTCCATGATATGTAAATTTCTGTTTCGGTCTGTATCGGTTCGGTATAATACTCACTTCACACGAAGCTAACCCAACTGTATCTATTTTCTCAGTAACGGCTTGTAGGCCTTGCATAAAGGTTGTGACATAAATCACAGATATTACATCTGTTTGAAACGTTTTCCAATCTGTGAATAGCAGCCTGACGAAACAGACAGCGATCTGTTGATCAAGAAACTGCATATATATCTGTTTATATACTAATTCATTTTGGCAATTTAATAGCATGTTATTGAAGATATATCAAGGGAAATTATAATATATAATATTAAGGCCCGGCTCGCATCTGACAAAGGACAGAAGACACTTCACCAAGATCAGCGGTGCAAGTAATTGTGATAGTAAAGTTACGAATAATTGTACTTACGAGTGTAGAAGAGATTGTCCAATAAACATAGTCGCCAAATCCGAGACCCGCGTGAACAGGCAACGCGCGACAATATATACACTTAATGCTGCTGTACTTATTTACTTACTTAGGAGCTGAGCCCCTTGAAGAGAAGCCAAATATGCAGCTACTCAAAGATTTCCCAGCATTTTATGGAACCCGAAGGTTCATTACCGTGTTCACAAGAGCCCTCCACTGGTCCCTATCCTGAGCCAGATCAATCAAATCCATACCATCCCATCTCTCTAAGGTCCATTTAATATTGTCCAGCCATCTGCGCCTTGGTCTTCTCACTTGTCAATGCTGCTGTAGTTTATGTGTATTGTTTGGTGTACTTACGGTCCAACCTCCTTCTGCCACTTCTTGCTCGCAGTATACTTTGAGGAACCAGTACGTCGTTCCTCTGATCTGAAGGTAGTACACCCCGGAGTCTTTCATGCCCGCGTTCAGTAAATCCACGCAGGAGTAACCCTGAAAGAAGATAACCAGTTACTGTACACATGTACGTATATTCTCATGATGGGTGTTACATTTGAAAACAATATTCGGTTATGATCTACAAAAGTTAGGTAGCATCTTATAAGTAATGGATTCAGAAAGGATGTGGGTGGATGTGATCATGATCCATCTGAATTACCATCCTGACATAACTTACGTCTGGAACGTTTGAGGTCTATGAGCGGGGGCACAGCAAGGAAACTGGCAACCGCAATTTCAGAGAACCGTTATCAGCTTAAGTTGATCACATATTTCTGAATGGAGAAGAGCAAACTCAGGAAATTCCAACGCAGTTTTTTTTTTTTTTTTTCAATTTGCGCTTCTATGTTCAGTAACATGTGTTCAACTCAGGCTGATAACAGTTCTCGGAAATTGCGGTTGAGTTGCGGTTTGCCAGTTTCCTTGGTGTGCCCTCGTCCTATGAGTTCCACGAAATCACTCGAAGTACCCAGTCCCAGATCATGAGGTTCTCGAACGTAAGTCAGACGCGTTAATAATGTTCTAACGTCCGGGGTTTGTGCACCGGGTTGTCATAACGCATAACCACTGGTTTCATCTCAGTGCATATAGGCGTAGATGAATACGTAAGGGTCGATTTTGAACCTCATTCTCCGTTCTGTGTCGTCGTTACGGTCAAGTCTGCGGTCGATGAGGCAAATAACAAACAGAAACTTATAAATCGCCGGCCTAAACTTGTGAACACAGGAATGGCTCTGATACATGCTACACCTGATAAGTTACTGCTCAGTTAAAAGTTAACTGCTTGAGGAGTTGATACATTTTAAAAACAGAAATCTTAACCATAATTACGTACTATGCATGATTGTAGTAGTTCAGTAGTTATTGTTGCGAAATCAGAAACATTATTCATCTCACAGATAATTGATTTTTAAAGTAACAGTAAGAAAATATTTAAGTTTTTGAATATTGAAATTCAAAAACATTTAAAATTATCCACGACGCAAAGAAAATCAAATATTTTAAAAATATCAAATAACAGTTGTCAATGGCTGTTACACAACAGTGATTATTGCAAGAAGAAGATATAAGTGGACGACTGAAGTTTCAGACGGGTTTAATTTTCTTTATATATATATATATATATATGCATGAAATGCCAAGATAGACGTGAATTGTAACAGTATGGTGGAGTGTTTTGGGCCTGAAATTAGAAAATATATCTGGCCGTTCCGCATGCCCTCGCCTTTATTTGACAACCCTATGTCATATCAAGACGGTTACTTTTTCTCCTTTGTTTGAGGCACCATGACCGTCTCTGTGGTCCAGTGCTCAGAGTTCCTGGCTACAGATCCAGAGGTCCCTGGTTCGATTCCGTGCGTTACCAGATTTTCTAAGAAGTAGTGGGTCTGGAACGGAGTCCCTTCAACCTCGTGAGGATAATTGAGGAGCTATTTCAAGGAAATAGCGGCTCCGGTCTAGAAAACCGAAATTAATGGCCGCGGGTATCCGTTGCGCTGACCACGCGACATCTTCTGTCCGCTAAAGTTGGCACTAACTTCGTTGACAAGCGATGGTCGCTCGGTCGGTATAGTTCGCTTGCGGACTACAGGTCACGGAGTTGACACACCATACCTTTGTTTTCGTAATACACTGCAAGCCTCTGAACATTGCGTCTCACGGTTGAGAAACGTATTTCAATTTGCATACCTTGTCATTCGGCAGAGGGAGGGTAACATTTTACGCTAAGTACCTCCAATCTTGTATTACGAGCGAAATGTATAGAAAATAATTCCCCAGAACGTATTTGTGTACTCTGGAAATGAAAAATGGTCGTGGAAGAAGGATAAACACGACTGTTCTGGTACGGCACAGGTGTTTGACGTATTCCACACTGATGAATAACGCAGAAACTCTTTGAACCAAGGATGACTGATCATCTTATGAAATTCTGACGTATCTATAATCTACGTGGTCACAGAATTAGATGGAAAGTTGTGTTGTCATCCCTAATGGCACGCCACATGGAATTTCGTCAGGAAGCAGGTTCCAATAACTAATTTTAAACACTTGAGAGGCATCTTGATGTCTCCAGCAAGTAAAGTTATCCCTTTGCGTAATTAAGCACCACGCGTTCGAGACTTGTCGGGAAGTGGAAATATAACTCCAGAAAATATGAACTTCGGCACGGGATTTATACGGATGGTCAGCTTCCTGACCCGGCCTCTTTATCCCCAGGGAAGGAACTCCATGTGTTCGTTAATAGGAGGCGGGCTGGGCCCCATGGTCAGTCTTAACATTATTTAGAAAGGAAATATGTTTTGCCTCGTCTCTGCCGGGAATCGATTCCCAAACTCTTCGATCAACCAGCTTATAGCCTAACAGCTATATCCACTCATCTGGATGTCACAGTTCGTTAATATTCGGCGTAGAGTAAATCGGCATGATGGGTCAGCACTGTTTATTTTATTTTATTTTTCATTTAACTGATCATTGAGTTGCTGAGTAAGCGAGTAAATAAATAAGGAATTGAATTATGTACTCAGAACTGACTGATGGCAGACATCCCCAATTTAGTCTCCCCGTAACTTTTCATAAATTTAATTTTGATTTGTTAATATTTTCCCGGTTTTATCCCACTTCTGTACTCAGTGAAGTGAGTTTGATGCGTCCTTGAGCTCATCGCATCGGTTCCTGAGCCCTTAGGCAGATATATGTGTTTCTCTTTATTTATTTATTCAGTTACAGTGTTAAACTCCAAGCTGCTGGTTTTGTGGCCATGAGTGTTCTCTTAGTCTTCAATGAAACGAAACCTTATTACTTCTGATGTGTTCATCGTATTACCATAACAAAAGATTGCTGCACTGACTAGTTTGGCAGACAACTGACAGCGGAGGCGGGATATTACCCCGGTTTCATAACAACATAGTCTGTCCCTCTTCAGTTTTCAGTCAGGCCTTGAACACACCATTCATCTGTAATAAATCGGTATGAACTCAGTTGAGACTGAAGAGCATATTGTGGCTCATAGCTGTAAAGGAACGGACTTACTCTTTTCTTCTCATTGGTACTCTCGACAGCTCACCCCCGATTTTATGGTTGATATTTACAGAAGATCACGATAACAGATCGAAACCTGATTCAGGAGGAAATTAAGAGGCGATTGAACTCGGGTAATGCTTGCTACCATTCAGTCCAGAACCTTTTGTCTTTTCGTCTGTTGTCCAAAAACATAAAAATGAGAATATACAAAACTATAATTTTGCCTGTGGTTCTGTATGGGTGTGAAACTTGGTCTCTGACATTAAAGGAGGAACATAGACTGAGGGTGTTTGAGAACAGGACAGGAGAATATTTGGACCAAAGAGAGATGAAATTACAGGAGGTTGGAGAAAACTGCATAATGAGGAGCTTCATAACTTGTACTCTTCTCCAAGTATAATTAGAGTGATCAAATCGAGGAGGATGAGGTGGGCAGGTCATGTAGCACGAATGGGGGAGACGAGGAATGCGTATAGGATATTGGTGGGAAAGCCAGAAGGAAGGAGACCACAAGGAAGACCAAGGCGTAGGTGGGTGGACAATATTAGAATGGATCTTAGAGAGATAGGATGGGATGGTATGGATTGGATAGATCTGGCTCAGGATAGGGACCAGTGGAGGGCTCTTCTGAACACGGAGATGAACCTTCGCGTTCCATAAAATGCTGGGAAATTCTAGAGTAGCTGCAGAATTGGCGGCTCCTCAAGAAGTGCTCATCTCCATGCGTAAGTAAGTAAGTATTTACAGAAGATCCCCCTTTTCTTGTGCACGCTGTGGCATAGTTACTTGAGGCACTACGCTATAAGCCGGAAGGTCGCGGATTTGATTCCCAATGAGTTCATTGGATTCATCAACTGACCTAATCCTTCCAACCGCACTATGGCCCTGTGGTCGACTCCTCCTCTAACAGAAATGAATACCAGGCATCTTCCTGGGTGTAAAGCGCGGCCAGCGCGTAAGGCCGACAACCTCACCACCATCTGTGAGCCGATTGTCTACAAAATGTGTGAGCCTCGACTTGTTACAACCTGTGGACCTCTACTGCCTGTTACAGGGATAGGGTTACCCTACATTTTTTACCCCCTTTTCTTCCCCTCTAGAGGCATGATCATGGGTTCCAGAACTTTTTGGGGGCCGTGAACCACTTGCTGCGTGAGTTGAATGAAATTTTGATGAAATCGATAGTCACACACAGACTTGGAGTTAGTCCGCCTGTTCATCCGATAGATGGTAGTACTGTTCATATTTTTTTTTCAAAGCCCTAGGAAAATAATTTATGTTAAGTGGACTGGAGAGGGAAGATTGCTCTCCTTCCATCCTCAGGATTGAAATCACTTTGACTTTTAAGATAGAGGCGGACCACTCCCCCCCCCGCGGATCACGGGTGGCCTGCGTCGATCTCAGTGGCTTCACGTTCTCAGGCATGAAATGTCTTCTCTCTCTCGAACACTGGGATTGTGGATTCGAGTCCCACTTAAAGCATGGATGTCTATGTTAGGTAGCGGCCTTGCTGCGAAGGGCTGATCTCCCGTCCAAGGAGGCCTACCGACTGTCTAAAATTAACAAACTGAAATGAAACGAGCGTTTCACGCATGTACTATGCTCCAAGTGGGAGCAACAGAATAATAATAATAATAATAAGAAGAAGAAGACTGGTGGTCCGTGACTGGGAGTTTGGGCAACTTCGCTCTGTGTGTAATTCCGCTTCTGGTACGCTTCCTCTTACCCGTCCTCTCCTCAGAAGGGACTTTCCAAGACGCCGAGACAGTAACAGACGGACATGGGTACAAAGAAGGGGCTTGACTCCAAGACGGACCGACTGACTCTTAGTTATAAAGTGAACTGGGCTTGGCTTTCGTGTCAGTTTCGGCACCACTGCTTTAGTGACTCAGCAACTTCCCATTTACTAACTCCCGTTCTAAAATCCATAAGGTATAGACCTACTGTGCTCCATTCACTATGGGAACTAATGT